TATATATATATATATATATATATATATATATATATATATATATATATATATATATATATATATATATATATATATATATATATATATATATATATATATATATATATATATATATATATATATATATATATATATATATATATATATATATATATATACTTCATTTTTAGTCCATATAACATGCGAACTTTGAACATATAATCAACTACCTCACCAGCCAGGACTCGAACCCTCGACCTACTGCATGGGACTAGGGAATGTTACCGACCATACCACAAGAGCACTAAAAGCAGTTCTAGACTATGTTATGTTTCACACCTTTTCTGTGGATCAGACAGTGTAGGAAAGGCAATTTACAGTCATGCTCTAATTCCACAGTGAATTTGATCGAGGGGACTAAGTTATTAAGTTGTGGCAGGAAAGCATTTAGGTCCTCATTACTTGGCCAGAGACATAATACATCATCTACATATCTAAACCAGACTGCTGAAGGTGGTAAGATATTACTTAATAACTTAATAACTTAGCCCCCTCGATCAAATTCACTGTGGAATTAGAGCATGACTGTAAATTGCCTTTCCTAGACTGTCTGATCTACAGAATAGGTAACACCTTTAAGTTCAGTATTTATAGAAAACCTACTATTGTGTGTTCATACATTCATTATTATTCTGCCCACCATAATAGAGTCAAACAGTCAGTATTTTCAACAATGTTTTTACGTGCTTTGAGAAATTGCAGCCCGGAATTCATTGATGAAGAATATAAATACAGTGGGGTATGCTATAACGAACGTAATTGGTTCCAGAACCTCGTTCGTTATAGCATTCATTCGTTATAGGATTAATCCGTTCCAGGCCCCCAAATACAACCACTTAACACTGAAAAATTCTGTGGAAAATGTAAAAAATACGGTACTTTATCTTACCTTAGTGTTGTTCAGCATGCAGGACAGGAGGCAGAGGGGGAGGGGGGAGGAGGGGGAGGAGAGAATTATGGAGAAGAGGTGGAAGGAGAGGAGTCATCCTTCCTAGCCCTCTTTGGTGACTGTCTCACAGGCACTTTGTCTGTAGGTTCTTTTGTTACCTTTGTAAAGAAGGAATCCAGGGTTGGCTGCTTCAACCTTGATTTCTGGACCTTCCAAAAGTAGTTCATAACATTGTCATTGAACACACTGATGGCCTTTTGCACAGAACCAACATCAGGATGATAATCCTCAGCAAGCTTGGACAGTTTGCTCCAGCAAAAGAACGCATCCTTGAGATCTTTGGCTGGAATGATGCGGCTTTCCTCCTTGTCCTCCTCCTCCCCTGACTCCTCAGAAGTTAAGCTCCGCTTCAGTGTCTCATTTTCCTCTTTGTGAAGCTCAAGCAGCTCCTCAGTGGACAATTCCTTACTGTGCTCTTCCACCAACTCCTCAACATCATCATCATCCACTTCCAGGCCCATGGAATTGCCCAGAGACACAATTTCATGAACAACAGCCTCTTCTTCTAACTCTTCGAAGCCTTCAAAGTCTCTTTGAAGGACACATTCAGGCCACAATGGCCTCCAAGCAGCACAAAGACACCTCACAGTAACCTCTTTCCAGGCTGAGGTAATTAAAAATACAGCGTCTGCTATATTGAAGTGACTCTTCCAAAATTCCTTCAAGCTAACATCACTGGAAGAAGTGGACGCAAAACATTTTCTAAACAGTGCCTTTGTGTACAACTTCTTAAAGTTAGAAATTACCTGTTGATCCATGGGCTGGATGAGAGGTGTTGTGTTGGGTGGCAAGAAGTGCACAGTGATGAAGTTCAACTCCTCTGGCAGTTCAACCATCAAATTAGGAGGGTGGGCTGGTGCATTGTCCATCACCAACAAAGCTTTCAGTGGAAGATTATTCTCCCTGAGGTATTCCCGAACACTGGGTCCAAACACCTCAATCACCCACTCAGAGAATAAATTCCTGGTCACCCAAGCCTTTGGGTTTGACTGCCAAGGCGGGTCTTCCTAATTTTTTTGAAGGCTCTGGGGTTTTCTGCGTGGTACACAAGGAGTGGCTTTATTTTGCAGTCACCAGAAGCATTAGCACAAAGAAGGAGGGTAAGCCTGTCTTTCATTGGCTTATGGCCAGGGACAGAAGTTTCCTCCTTGGTAATGTATGTACGGCGAGGCATTTTTTTCCAAAAAAGTCCAGTTTCATCACAGTTGAATACCTGCTGAGAAACAAAGCCTCCCTCTTTAATAATATTCAAAAAAATGTCATGGTGCTCCTTAGCTGCTTCCTTATCTGCACTAGCAGCATCACCATGTCTCACAACACTATGTATTTTATTTCTCCTTCTGAAACCAGTAAACCACCCCTTGTTACCCCTAAACACTGGCACATCACTATCACTTGCACTGGGAGTCTTGGCTTTAAGGTCCTCAAACAATTGTCTGGCCTTCTCACAAATTATAGCTTCACTAATGCTATCACCTGCCATTTCTTTCTCCGTTATCCACAACAAGAGTAAATTTTCCATCTCCTCAATCACATTACACCTTGCTTTGCTAACTCTAGAGATTCCCTTAGCCACTTGCACTGTTTTTAATTTCTCTTTATTCTTTAAAATCGTACATATAGTCGATTTAGCCATCCCATACTCATCACTAAGTTTTGCAATGCTTGTTTCATCCTCACGTTTCTTTATGATTTCTTTCTTAGTTTGAAGACTTATGAGCTTTGCACGATTCATTGTCACAATTGTACACTTGTATAACAAAATATTTATAAAAATAACTCTATTTCCACATCAAAAGATGAAATTTCAACAATAACAGTGGTGCACAGGCTACACAATGAGACAAAGATGGCGCCTGACGCTCTTGTTGTGGGTCGCGGTACAACAATATTCATGCGCCAGGCGAAATAGTCCCGTATTCATCGGCGTTCGTTGTAGGAGTTGCGTTCGTTATAGCATTCTCAATTTTATAGGTAAAACCGTTTGTTATAGGAATATTCGTAGTAGAATCCGTTCGTTATAGCATACCCCACTGTATATCTATAATATTGGCTCAAACCTTAAATACCCTACATCTTTCATAGACAAATGCCTGAACATTACTAAGAAATCTTTTTATAGAACTGATCCCAAGCCCACCCATAACCATAAGAATCTCTTAGTATTACCAGTTCACAAAAATTTCTCTCAAATTCCTTTACAACTAAAAACCTGGAACGTCAATGTGGCATTTAAAAACTCTTGCACTGTTAAACAAATGTTAATCAAGAACCCCCCCAACAATACAAATGGCTGCATTTAAAAAATCCCTTGCAAGGAATGTAATATGTTTTACTTAGGCCAGGCAGGTAAAGATCTTGTAACTAGACTTAAACAACATAAATATAGTGTTAGGACAGGCCAGGAATCCAATGCTTTGTTTGTTCATTTGAGGGATAATAAACATTGCATTGACTGGGATAAAGCCTCCTCAATATTACCTTGTAATTCAATTGACAGTAAGAACATTAGAGAATCTAGTCTCATTAAACATACTGAATCCATTAGCATGAATTTGAGTAATGGTATGTACAAATTGGACAATTTTGTAATTAAGAAGATTTGTAACCAGGTGAGAAGGTTTGGTCAGTTTTTCCCTCTGACCTGACCACCGACTGCTGCGGTGCTTTTGTGAAGATTAGTAGGGTCATTACCTATACTTGACCTCTGTGGACTTGATCTCACCCTCCTCTGTATATGTACTGTATATATAACTTGTTCTGCACTTCTACTTAGTTTGTACTCACCCCTGAAGATGTGAATTACACGAAAGCGCTTGGGAACTTCGTGTTTTCTTTTTCCTTGTGGTTATCAGCATATACCTGGATCACGTGCACCTACAGTGATTTATTTGCACATACAGTATATATACAGTCGACCCTCATTAATTCGGACCCCTTTAATCCGGATTTTGGATAATTCGGACAAAATCTGATTTTTTTTTTTTTTTTTAAAGATTTGTAGGAATATTACCTACGCGGACCTTATGCTAAAATGCTGGTCCACCCACTGCTGGGATAAAACATGTAACATCTCCACCACTAGTGTGGGCGAGGAGCAACTTTTAGCTTCAGACATGAAAAATATTTACCATTTACTGCCAAGCTCTCATTGCCGGTTATTTTACGCCTCAACAACATGAAGAAGATCAAGGGGAATCCAGTGACGATGACACTGTCACTCTGGAGATTGGTGATGAAGCTGAAGTTGCTTTACAAGTGTCTACAGTTGATTTTGAAGGCTTTGAATCCGATTAGCCTTCAACCCCTGCCTCGAACCTCCATCATCTCACAGAGCTTCCCACACCTCCTCTATTTGGTGGAGTGTCACATAATTAACTTCCTGGGCTTTCTTAAAATATTTATTTAATAATGTAGATGCAGTTTATGAGACATTCTGTGTAGATGAAATTTTGGGGAGGTTAAGTTGGTTCCCCAAATTCGGTCTAGATTAAAGGTCTGACGAATCCAGAACAATATACTGTAGTGATTTTAGCACGTTAAATGGCATCACTTGTGAGGATTTCCAGTGCACGGGCATATGCCAGTATGATATAACTGTGCAAAATGAGACCCCACTGTGCTGCATTTCATTCTGGGGTCATCAGCAGATCAAATTCTCGAAATTTTGGCATATATTCTCTTACTATATTTAAAATTTACCAGTATGTATGATCTAAGCCTATTAACAAAACTTTCCAAATCTCCAAATCCATTTTGTTTCTGGTCCCAAGCTCGGCATACAAGCAATATAAAGTACCTGTACAGTATTTGTACTACCAGTACAGTATCAAATTTAAATTAAAAAAATTCACTACATTAATTCAATATCAAATATACCTGTACTCACCAACTTCTGGAAAAATTGTAACACAATGAATTTTGAAAAATTATCAAATCAATGTCCATATAACAAGTGGAGACTATTAAACAAAATTATATATACTGGACTGGACTGTATACATATCCTCACCTGTCAAAATTTTTTGTTGCTGCGGAGGAATAGTCGTTAGATGCTGGATGGCCAAGAGAAGGTCATGGAGAGTGCTTTCCCCAGTAACATGCTCAGTCAGGGGATACTGCCCACCTCCACTGGTTTTTATTCGTAATCGTAACATTGTCACTAGCCCCTGCTTGATTATCTGCAATTTCAATAAATGCAATTGTCAATAAACCACAGCATGTGGCCAGGTCAACATTATCCATAAGTACATTCAGGTTTCAATACATGCAAAGGTTGTATTCTCCTAAAATTTCCAATAATTCAAATTCACATAAACTTAATTATACAGTTCTTAGTTACAGTACTGTACTGTATACAGGGGGTCCCCGACTTATGAACGTCCGATTTACAAACACCTGCCAATAAGAACGAGGTTAAACTTTAAATTTATAGTATTTTAGTTAACCGATGACTTATTTTTTACTTTCATTTACTGCATTTTGTCATTCTATTTCTTCTTTTCTCTAAAGTTAAGTGATTTTAGATGCATATAAAGACTTACATAATGACATAGTGAGATTTTAAACATTGTTCTGTAAGTACGGTGTGCACATAGCATGTATTTCGACTTACATACATATTTTACTTAAGAACGTCCTCAGGAATGGAACCCATTCATAACCCGGGGACTCCCTGTACAGTATTGTATGGAGAAAAATAGGATGAATTACACAGCCTTTTTTGGGATCTACCGTAAACATCAGTTTGGCACTTCTTTATAACAGTAACTCAGTAATATAATACAGGGGGATCTCGTTATACGAGCATTCTTAAAAAAAATATGATGATACGAATTTAATTTAATTGAATTGAAACAATTTATTTAGCCAGAAGAAACACAGATACAGAGTGGATAATAATAACAATATTAACATGGCTGAGCTCTCTTTAAGGCACCTGATATATACTACAGTACACATTTATCTCAAGGAAGTACAGTTGGGTCTCACTTTACGCGGTTAATATAACCCACAGGGTACCGCGGAAAGTGAGAAACACGTAAAGTGAACAACATAACATATGGGATTAATTGAAATAGAGACCGGGCCGACCCCCAAACTCCACTATTTGACGACACACAACTATGTTGTAGTAAAAATATAATCTTAACTTTATGATGGTATGCACACCCAATTAATAATTAAGAGAAATATCAATAATATTAGGTTTTTTAACACTTACATTAGTAGAAAAGATGGCTGGGCACATGGGGATGGGCGGTTGGTTCCAAGGCAGAGGGCAGATTATTGGCCCTCACCTGTATCACTTGTATCAATTGTATCACTATCCACCACAGAGGCTTGCAGGGCCTCTTTGTCAAACCCCTCAAAGTCCATATCTTCACTATAATTATCACTATCACTGACTTGGGCCGGCTGTGGTGGGTGGCGGGTGAAGAACTGGTAATGTTTTGATGACTGGGCGACCTTGTGCGCACCATGCTCGCGCCGCTTACACAACATGGCGGATGGCGGGAGAGGGCGGGAGGTTTGGATCCAAAAATGACACGGCTCGCCAGCCGCTCTCCGCGTAAAGGGGTACACGCACTGCAGAATGTGAGCATCCTGGGTTCCGGCAGGGCACCGCGTAAACGTGGAAACGCGGAATGTGGAACCGCGTAAAGTGAGGGTTGACTGTATTATGTAACATTTAGTATCATCTGGAATAGTACAAAAGCATCGTGGTAATAAAAACATCTCATAATGTTACCACAGTTATCACTTCAATATTTATTTACAGTATTACCCCGCTTAACGCAATTTCGCTTAGCGCGTTTTACCGTATACGCGGTGCCTCGCCAGAGCCGAACTTTCACTTAACGCGGGTTTTTTCCACATATACGCGGTGAGTGTCTGGCTTGAGACTCTATTTTTAGATTCGCCCCACCCGCCTGCTCCCGCCTCCTCCCTCCGCTTGGGCAAGCCGCGCGGTAAGGTTGCGCAGTGTGTGTCTTTGTTGCGTTATCACTGACGTCATATGACGTATCGGACTGTGATTGGCCATGAATCCCTAACCCCCCTCTGCTGCTAGCTGTAATTGGCTTAAAGTATTATGACGTGTCCACCCGGGGGAGGGAGGGAGGGAGGAAAGACGACGCTTGACCTAGCCGCGGCAGTTTCATCCCTCTAGGCTGCTCCGTGTATACGTGAACCCATTGTTCTGTGAAATGGCTTCCGCCGGACCACCACCGCCACCAGAGAGAGACCTTTCCTTACCTGGACCCAGCCACCCTAAGCCCAAGAAGACACGCCGTGGTCTAAGCTACAAAGTGAAGTACCAGATCATTCAAGATTTGGAGAAAGGAACACGGCAAGTTGGTCTCGCACGCCAGCATGGCTTCAACGAATCTATGATTCGCACTATCAAGAAGGATGCAGCCAAGATCAAAGAGCACATGAAAAACACAAAGTCTGCAGGTGCTTCAACGATCAGGTATTGCCAGAACAGGGTGCTGGCAAAAGTGAAAAATTTGCTGGCGAGTTATTTGATTCGTCAGGCGCGACGCAACATGGCGGTGGACACGCGCTCAGTGCAGGAGTACGCACATGAGCTATAAGCAGCAGTGTCACGTAAGCTGGGAATTGCAGAGCCCAAACCCTTCAATGCTTCCTCTGGTTGGCTGCATAGGTTTAAGAAGAGGAACAAGATCACCAACATCAACATTGGTAGTGAGGAAGCGAGTGCTGACCGTGTGGCGGCTAGAGATTTTCCTCCGTTCTTACGTGAGATTATGGAGGAAAGACAGTACACCGACGACCAGGTGTTTAACATGGACGAATCTGGTCTTTTCTGGAAAAAGCTACCGTCCAAGACCTTTGTTGTAAAGAATGCCAGCAAGATTCGGGGCCGGAAGATGCAGAAGGAACGCATCGCCGTCCTGTTTACCACCAATGCCTCCGGTACCTGTAAACCAAATGTAATGAGACAAACTCACAAGAAGAAGATTACATATAGGTAGAATATTGATAGTATAAGAGTATAAAGAGAGGAAGATTTTGGTAGCGTGGCCGTGATAGTTATTTACACTTATCGTACACTTATCGTATCTTATACGTCAATACACATCTATTACGTTCTTAAAGGCGACTTGTCAAACACTGCTTCGTTACAACTCTTTATCAATTACGAACATGACATGGACACATTAATAACACCTTCTATTGAAAGTTACTAGGACATTATTACTTTAATAGACACTGATTCTCGGACACGAACATGAAATGAATACACTTCCCACATAAGTAACTCATCCCGTGGAAAGCTCTGACAAACACTCACGTGACCTAGGGGAGGCCTAGCAGGGAGACTGCTTAGCTGGAACACTGGTGTCGGGAGGGCGACTGCTTAGCTGGGACACTGGTGTCGGGAGGGCGACTGCTTAGCGGGGACACTGGTGTCGGGAGGGCGACTGCTTAGCTGGGACACTGGTGTCGGGAGGGCGACTGCTTAGCTGGGACACCGGGGAGAAGTCGGGGAGGGAAGTCCTGCACGACTCTCCTCCCGTGAGCGGGACTCGGCTGTGGTGGACCTCCTCCTCCGATCCCTGTGTGTCTCTCTCTCTGACTCTCCGAATTCCCTGAGGGAGGACTAGGACGTCCTATATATTGGGATACGAGCCGTCAGGTTCAGCTGGTCGGGGGAGGGGGGGGCGGCGAAGGGTCTCCTTACATTTGACCTGGCCAATGTGAGGTCAGGTCTGGACTTTTCAGAAACTATCTGGGAAAGTCATCAGGTGGGGCCGTGTGTATATTGGGAGAGCAACCGTGAGAGTTCCCCTACACTTGACCTCCCTAATGTCGGGTCAGACTGGAGTTTCTGAGATGTAAGACGTACTTTCTGGAGAAGTCATCAGGTGGGGCCGTGTGACATGAGAGGCCCTGGTTGATTTGTGGCCCCATGAGTTGGGCTCCGAGGGTTACATTTGACCTGGCTAATGTGAGGTCAGGACCTCCCTAATGTCGGGTCAAGTCTGGCTTTCCTCGCGATGTAAGCTGTGGTCTGACAAACCATCACTACACAAAGTTATTGGTGATTCACACAGCCCGCAAGCCGCACGCCTACAAGAATATGGACATGAACAAGCTTAATGTCCACTGGCTAACCGCACGTAAGGCGTGGATGTCCTCTTCTCTGTCCCTCTTCTGGTTTGACAACTGTTTTGTTCCTGACGTGAAGAAATTATGCGAGCAACAGAATGTTCCATTCAACATTTTGTTGTTCCTTGACAACGCACCTGGACACTCGCCCCTACTTATGGATCGTCACCCCAACATAAAAGTGGTCTTCCTTCCTCCCAACACTACGTCATTAATCCAGCCCATGGACCAGGAGTTGATCTGCAATGTGAAAGCTGCGTACTCTGCACAGAAGTTCAAGCTCCTGAACGACTCTACCAACACCAAGAATGAGTTGCGTAAGCTGGGTGACACCGACAGCGAGAGTAAAAGCGACGAGGACAAGGAACAAGAGGTGGCAACTCAAGAAGTTCTCGTCAAACAAGTTTGGAAGAAGTTTAACGTCAAACAAGCTGTAGACTTCTTGGTGGAGGCATGGGATCTGCTGTCTATTGCTACGATTCGTCAGGCATGGAGACATGTGTTGCATGGCATACCAGGTGAGAGGAGGAGTGAACCTGTGACTGGTGAGGTTCAGACTGTTGCAGTAGCAGTGGACCTTGCCAGATAAGCTGCGCTCACTATTATAGCTGAAGGCTTCTCCGAGACCACCAACGAAGACATCCTGGAGGTGATCAGAGATCCTGAAGTGACTGCCGACGAGATGTTGGAAGAAGATCACGTCAGTGAAGAGGAGGAAGAAGGTGCGTCATTCTCCGAAGAACACAGTTTAACTCATAGTGATATTAAGGGTGCCATGGAGTGTGCAGAGAAAATGAAGTCCTTCCTTTCCCGCGACAATGACGATGACCGCTATGAAGTCTTCCATACCCGGCTGGTGCAGGCTATGGAGCCGTACATCATGGTGTATCACGACAACATAAACACCAGCCGTCAAAAAAGCATAACCGAGTTCTTCGCCCGCAACCCACCACAGCCAGCCCAAGCCAGTGATAGTGACAGAGGTAGAGACAGTGAAGATGACTTTGAGGGATTTGTCAGGGAGGCCATAACAAGTGTGGGT